CGTCTATTTTTGGGCGCATGTAAGCACCTGACAATGTTGGGAATCGGGGGATCGGGATGCCGGGTTTTTAGGCATCCTGGGATAACGAAATTGATGAATGTTTTCTGCCGTTGCCCCGAACAACAAACAAACAAGAAAAAAGCTGGCCATCATAGGGCAGGAATTTAGGGCGTATGTGGAGTATTATCCCCGATGGAGGAGCGAACAAAAAACCTATCAAAACAAACGATAATGTTTGATGATGAGCAGGATACGGATAATAGGGATGTCGATGCCATTAGGAGGGGTCAGGCTGGGGAGCAAGTAGATAGGTCCCACGCCCCGATGATGTGTTGATTGCCCCCAGATGAGCCAAGTCGATTGGTCAGCCGGCAGTAAAATGCCGCTGCATGTGCGGATATAGAAATCAAATTAAATCACGTTTAAATGGGGCACTAAAACGAAGGTTTTTATGAAGTCAGCCAGATTAAAGATTTTCCCTCCGATCAATTTCCATTCCGAATCGGTATTGAACCATTTTCACCCTCTAATTAATGCTAATTAGCTGAGTTTGTGTACTTTGTCGCGGAATTGAAGTTTTTAAGCTGTAAGCAGTATCAGCGAATGCCTTTGTCTGTTTAAGCCCCCTAGATTTCGTTATTCAGGACACTCTGCCATTCATCGCAGCTCATTAGTTGCCCTCGGCAGCAAATTAAACTGGCCAACAACGGTGGCCAAAAGTCGATTTTCCATTCATCTTCGTTTCATTATGTTCCTGGCGAACAGTAGATAACCCAGAGCCACCCGACCCTCCTCTCCCTCCCCGAAAAGGGCCTTCCATTGACAAATTTATTTATTAACATTCGAGTTCATTAAACCAAAAACAGCAACAGCAGCAGCTTGGCCCGACTCAGCTGGCTTTCACACGCTTGGCTGGAAGTTTTTCTTGGCCAGGCGCATAAATCACTTGGCCGTCGATGGATCCTTGAATCTGGCCATCTTTTTCGGGACGGGGCTCTATCATTTTCGGGGTACTCTCAGAGAAGAAACTTTTCCGAGGATACCCTCTGCTTCCCCGCCCACTAACCAAACAAAGTAGTTTTTAAAGCTCCTACGGAAATTCTTTGTTGAGGGGCCACAACAACAACAGCAACAACAACAGACACACGCGGTTCGCTTAATCCATAAAGATTTATTTGTCGGGCTCTGCAGAACAAACAGATTTTCCCTTGCCTTCTTCTTCTCGATTGGCCAAAAGTTTTTTAATTAAATTTCCACCAAATGGTGGGTGTATGTCTGTAAGAGCATTGGAACATGTTAAAGTTTTTTCCCACCAAACCTAAAGTCGGCCTTAATAATCTAATTAAAGGAGTTCCGGCTTGTCATCCGCCCAGGATGACTCTGCTGGATTTAAGTTTAAATTTGGAAATGCTTACAGCGGAATTTTCAATTAGTTTTTGTACACTTAATTGCATTTATCGTGGACCTTTAATAATATATTTTACACACGGCAAAGCAGAGGACAGAGCACAAATTCTTTGATGAAATTTTTTGGCTAAAAGCAAAATGATGTAAGCGAGGCGAATTGCATTTTATGTAGCATGTATTTTATTTTTGGGGCCATATAAAATCCAAGGGCCCGGCTATTTTCATTGTTGAAAAACATTTTGGAGTTTAATTAACTGAGTGAGAAACCGGTTTGTACTATCCATAGTTGAGCCCAACTAACAATGTCGTTAGCAATTACATCTGATTGGAGGTACATTTGAATTATGTATGAATGTTTGATTGGCAGGTGAACTTTACCATTCGGAGTCCAACCAAATTGGAAACTAGACCCTGGGCAGTTGAGGGAAATGGCAGATGCGCATAATTGGAGTGCCATTATTTGTGTAATGGACAGGTTCATTAGCAAGCTGAACATAATGCTACAAGGTTGGACAAATTAATGGATCGGAATTGCAGAGTGTTATGCACATGCAATGGAAGGATTAAACACAGGCTATAGCAGATATTTGATTTGAATAAATGAAGGGTTGTCATGATAAATGCTGAGAATTTATAACATTAATCAAATTAAAATATTATTATTAATTGGGAATTTTGTACTTATTTGCACTTAAATTGATTACCTATAAGGGGCCTGCCTTCCTGCCAGTTATGGCCTCGCCCATAAATCCATACATAAATTAATTTTCAAATAATGCATTGTATTTTACTTTGCCTGAATTATATTTCAATCTGGCTTTATATTATTGTAATTAACCTGATTGTCCACCCATACATATTCGCCATTATTCCAGCTCAAGTAATTTGATAATTGTTTTACGTCACAATAAATTCACTGCACTTAATTCTGAATGTTTGCTGCCGTCGAGAGGCAATGGAATGTGTTTATATCAGCTTTAAGCTTTAAGGTTTGTTTAAACAAAATGTTTGTTTGGATTTTATTGCGAAATATATGTTAGAATATAACATAATTGAAGTTAGTTTTGTCTTTGTAGGAGTTTATAATGTTTAAGTCGCAAATCTGCTAAACATTTTTGGAGATCGAAGTGCACTTGAATAAATTTCCCAAATTTACTTTTAATTGTTATTTTGAAAATTAATTACTTTTTATTATTAGTAAAATTTTAATATATTTTAAATGGCACAGTTTTTCTGACATATCTTAAGTACACTAAAAATTAGTCAAAAGCTTTGTCCCAAAAATAAGGTTCTTGTATCAGCTAAGCAAGCTTTTCAAATTGGAGGCTATGTTAAGTGCACGAAAACTGTTCGAAGCAACAGTTACTGTTATGACTTTGAATATTCCATAGGTTTGTATGAATTCTAAACCTCATAAAATTAAAAACGTTAACTTTTTCGAATCCTTTGAAGTCTAAATATATGCTCTTCTATATATCTTTCTTTCTGTGATCAAGTACAGTCACCAAAGTATAAAACCCAAACTTAACTTCAAACCTAGAACCCATTGTAACCTACCTAAAACTACTATTTAAATCAAAGTTGAAACCTTTAAAAACACTTCTAATTTATCAACCATTAATAATAACTGCCGATAAAAGGGCAGTTGGGGATTATGCCGATGACCCATTCAATTAGTTTAATGAGCCGCGAAATAAACAGAAACGTTGGAATGCAAATGTTGTGAAAATGAAAATGAAAATAAACCATAAAATCGTTTCATTGCTTCTAACGAACAAGATGAATGCTTGCAGCGGATAAATAAACAGCTGCAACAACATAATGTTTATTATTTTATTTATTTTAATTGCCGCCAGCAGTGTTGAATGGCCAACGTAATTATTCAGTGGCTTAGAAACGAGCATCTATTAATTATAAAAACTAATTGGTGGTGATATCCTCGGAAATTGTTTTGGTCAACGAATTAAAGAAACAATTTATGCAATTTTGATTTTTCCAATTAAAATGTTTAATGAAAAAGATCCTCTTTAGTATATATTTGTTTTACACTCGTTAAGTGACATTATAAAAAGTTGTTAGGGAAACGTAATGAATAGTTTATGGCAAGAATCAGAACATTAATAACATCTACTAAGTAATGTTAAGCCTTAAATCAGTTAAGCCACCAACTTGACTCTGCAAAATTGCATTTCATGCCACAACATCAATGTCAATAGCCGCACTATTACGAATCGAAGTCGATTCTGTTGACACTTAATGACATGAGTTACATCTATTATTCAGATGGCAAAAGTGTCAACTCAGGTTGTTGGTAGAAATGAGAGTAGATTGGAGTGACCGTGAGCCAGATTTGCCAGCTTGCAGAACAGAAATATTGCCTGTGGCCAAATGGTCGATTGGTCGTTTGGTCGTTTGGTCGAGTGAAAGGTGTCAGCCAACTCTGGAGTACGAGTACGTGATTTTAATACTTGGCCAAAAACCAACACCACTGGCCACAAGCTCACATGGACCACGAAACCGGGCTAATGTTTGGATTTCGGTTCTCTAGCTGCGGGCCCATAAGCGGCTTATGCAAAAATCGCAATTCGGGGTTGGCTGGGATCGATTTTAAATCGAGTGTATCACTTGCCCGGTGGTTTGCAGGGCAAGCAGCTAAAATAAACAAAAACAGAAAATAAATAACAGAATTTAAACCAGTTTTTTTAGTTGAGGTGACGCATCGAGGGAATTTACCTGTTGAACTTCCCCCGATTCCCTGGACTTGGTTTATGACTACCATTTCGGGTATCAACTAATTGACAGTCTGCGGTTGTTGTGTAATTAGCATTACAATAATTTAAGCAAATCAGAGCAGGGAATATTACAAATGATTGATTTCAATGCTTGATTGGTGGGTCATGTATCTCAAATTTTATCTCCACACACTTACCACACCTTGTTTCCTTATCGAATCTTATCTATAAGGAGAAGAGACTGTCTAATCGAGGCACGAGTTCGTTGCTTTTCAGTTCAGTTTGGACCACATTAATAACAACTGCCAAAGGCACATGTTTAACACTTAACAAACAGTTCCACAGCCACAACGCGATGAAAAGTTAATTAATGTATCTGCTTAAAGACAACCGACTATCTAAATCGAATCGAGAGTGTTTGTCGTTCATTACACTTCCTCGAAATGCAAAACGAGGTTCATTAGCTCGTCGTCGTCATGAATCAGTGGGTAAGCAGTGTAGTTAACAGCGACAACGGGGCGTATGATTAATAATAATTATTGAATTTCTGGCAAGCAATGAAGATGCCATCGCTTTTGGTGGTCAACCGCAGATTTGCGGCTAACTTGGCTGCGGTAGTAGAACCTTGACACGCCTCCATTGGCGTCACGTTTCTTGTAAGGCAACTATATAGATGTATATATATCCCATATCGAAGGCGATTTTAAGCATCTGAAATGTCGGATTTATGCAAATCGAGCGGCATCAAACCGAGAGCGGAGAGCTCAAACCTGTTGCTGCTGTCGCATTCATTTCATTTCCATTCCATTTCATATTTAGAAGTCCGCCGTCCGAGATTTAAGTTTAGTTTTAATTGCGCTCGTAAACGGTCCAGTTCGCTTCGTTCGATCACTTGCCCATCTAAATTTCAAATTCCCCTTTTTCGGGCATTCTTACGACTCAAATTTATACGATTTAATTTGAAATTAAGATTAAATTCAGGTAAAATTTGGTGCCTTTCAGTGATGGTTAATTCATTTTCCGCGAAGTGTTGTTAAAATACGGAAAATGTTTTTCGCAATATTTACAGCGGACACATATATCATAAATAAAAGTGAATAGCTCGACAGTGGGTTTAATTAAAAGTCATGAAGTGAACAGTCAATAAGAAAAATAACCATCAAATATTGCTATAACCAAGAAACGTCAGTAAATACAAAATTAATCAGTCAGGTGTAGCCTCATTCGCTGTATCGACTAAGGAATGCCCAATATGGCAGAAGGTGTAACAAGGCATTTCCACTCAGAATGCGTGAACTCGTTTGTGTTTTTACTGATTTTCATTAGCTTGTATTCAACATTCCTTATTTGTCAAATTCTTTTGATCAATTTAATCTGAATTTATTGGATTCCTCGAATTAATTGTAGGCAGAAATAAAATCTGATTTCGATTTTAAATAACCGATTTCCGCGCGAGTTGAGGACAAAAAGAGTTCCTTTTTTCATAAATGAATTATGTTCGGAAGGATAAAAATCCGGTTCCTTCGGCCGTAATTAACCACATATTGATTCCATTGGCTTCCAGCTTGTCTTTCCCTCCGGCTTTATCCATCCACCGTTCGATTTCCCGGCCAGTTTTCCGCCGCGCGTAGTGGCGGTCAAACATTTTCACGAATCGAAACGTAACCGTAGGCAAAAACCTTTTTGCGAAAAGGGAAAAATATTGAACAGAAAATGTCTATAGAAATGGCATTTTATGTTAATTAAAATGCTGCCGGAAAGTGCTACTGAATGTTGGTGAAAAGCTTAATTTACTTGCCATCATAAAAAGGCCATAACAGGAATTGGAATTTCCCAGCTAGGAACTAAATTATAGGTTTTTTTTAATGTATTCTATTTACTAATTAAGAACCTACTAAAAGGTTTAAACACTTTAAAGATAATAAATCTCAAGCTAAACACGTGCCTTGTTAACTAAAAGCTGATTTTGCTTAATTTGTTAATCAGATTAACAGCTTTTAATTCGGCCTCTACTTAACAGTAATTCCTAATTAAGTCTGGGATAATTTTAATAATTGCAATTAAAGGAATTATCCTAGACACTAATTGGCTTTTACTAATTTCAATTTCCATGTCCAACAAATACAACTAAATTACGACTTGGTTTATTAATTAAAATATAGAACGCCAGCAGGTTTTGAAATAGCTTTCCCACCGCATTTCCCTCGAATTTTTTTCTATTTGCTCTGTCCTGAGCGGAAAACTTATTAAAATACTCGGCGGAAGCGTGAAATTGCGAGGCCAGCACACACGATGCGTGGGTGGTAATGTGGGTGGAAGTGGGTTGCAGCTGAAATGTGTGTAAGTGGGCGGATGTGGGACAGAGTGGGTGATTCCCCCGCATTACTGCAACTGATTGTTGGCGGCCAGACAATGCAGCTTCTGCCAACTAACCTAACTTCGCTCATCAGCGTTTTCAGCGTGCAGCATGTGGCACATACTCGTATTTATGTTATCGTTTTGTTAGTCAAATAAATTATGGTGAATGTCGTTTTCGAGCAGGGCGTCGCTGCTCAGTTGGCATAAATTGAATTTGCAAACTATACACCCACAAACACAGAGACAAAGATGGAGCCATAATATCGTGTTTAACTTGCCCAGCGAAACGTGAGAATGTTAGGGGGCATGGGACAGAGGCAGAGACGGAGTTAGAAGTGGAAATCATAGAGAAAATTGCATCATCAAAGCAGCAGCAGCAGCAGAACTTCCCATTTGCATTTCATGTTGATCGTGCATATTTTACCATTAATACCTTAGTACCCAACCCTTCGATTGGCATTCTCCCTGCTTGTGGTTCTCAGTTGCCACAGAATTGGCATTTGGCTGCTTCGGAATTTCAGTTTATTATTAATTGCATTCTAAACTTATGGGAAATGGAAACCAGATTGACTTTCCCAGCCAGATAACTCTACACGGAAGATACTAGCTTGCCGCCAAACAATCAAAATGGTTGATAATTTAGGTCACAAACTCTTTGGTTTTGGGCTAATTATAATCATAATGCAGGTGCTATGAAAATGTTAGCAAACTAAGACCTTGTCTGGGCTTGCCAACTTTCAAAATTGATAAACAGATTATTCAAATCAGTCATTGTTAATTATTAAATTTGATAGAATTATAAAGCTGCTAAGACTGGGAAGTAGATCTATTCGAATGAATATTTTAAATAATTTAATATACTTAAGCCAAGAGCCATAAATCTCTCTCTCTGTGCACTCAAGAACTTAAGCTATAAACTTTCACACACAAATTAAGTCTCAGAAATGCTGTAATTCGATTTGCATACATACCGGGCCGAAAAAGCGTACTATTTACACTTGATTACAAAGTTAACAACACGCCCTCAAACGCAACTGCCGGAAAAGTGGAAAATCGAGCACATCCAACAAGTGCACACACACACACACTCGCAGATACAGACATAAAGTGCAGCAAGCGAACGGAAAACGCACTCACACAGTAGCGCCAAAAGACAAGGCTGGCGGAAAAGGGCGGCAAAGCGGAAGTGGGCGGCATGGAGGCGGCAAAGCGGAAATGAGCGGCAAACACGCAGTCCCAAGAGCCTCACAAGTCCTACCGATGAAAACGTGAATAAATATTTAAAGATTGTCGTACGCACTCGGAAGGCAGAAAGTGCATCACGGGGTCAGGACTTGACATTTAGCCCCGGCGCAGAGTTATTGGCCACATACCCCCAGCTTATGTGTGTGTGCCAGTGCCAGTGCCACTTCATTTCCGTTTCCGTGCACTTTAGAACTGCGTTATGAGTGCTTCCCACCTGGCTTTCTCCGCTTTTGTGATTTGTACATTGTTGCCTCGGCATCTGTAAAGCCGAACTGTAAAGCGTGGAAATTAGTTGAGGGCGTCGAAGGCTAAGAAGCCCAAAGTTTTAGCCAGCTGCATAAATGTGGCCACAATGTTGCAGCTGTGATGGGTAGAGCTTTGGCAGGATCAAGACTTATGCAACATCAATGGAGATTACATTGGGAAAAAGTATTAGACTAAGCGGTTCGTAGCACCCTTGTTAGTAAAGTTAGTTGCAAATTAAAGTACTAAAGGAATATATCTTTGGGTACTCGTATACAAGTGCCTTTTGGTCAAAGATTTTTAAAATTGTCCTGAAATCATCTTACTCAGACCCTTCACAGCCAACCCACTAACCAATTAAAGGCGGCATATTTATTTTCAATTTCTGGCCAAGCTAAATTTATCGGCCATCTCGTTGAGTTGGCCATCAATCAAACTGATGGATGCCTCAATATTCTTATCAATGGGCTATCAGCTGAATCAGTAACTGACTCCCCTGTTAACCAGAGACTCTCTTAAGCTGTTAATAAAAGTGAATCTGGTAAACAGGGGAAATTTTAACAGCACTGTTAGTTAACGAAATCACAGCAGGCGCATGTTATGTTAAGTTATTAAAGTGAAAGTAGAAATGATTTGATTGAACAGGGACGGATATATATATATGTATAGAGTAAGAGGGGTGGCGAATTCAGCCCACCGCCGTTGTTATTATTGTCATTTTTATTGGTCCCGAACTTCCGCTGGAGTAATGAAAACGTTTACGTTTGCATTACGCCGCTGTGCGTATTTTTATATGGCCAAAATTTTAGGCCAAACTTTTGACGCACTCGTCCACATAAAACCCAATGTCGCGTCGGAGTAACGGGGGCCATCGTTTAGTCGGTATGGGGTTTTCCGGGGGGTTTCACCCATATTTCAGCCATAAAAAATACTGGATGACATTATACATTTATGATTGACAGCCTGCCGGATTGATTTTTGTATGTCTGCCATGAGTGTTTAATAGTATTTAAGGAATTTACTGACTTAAAGCAACTCGTTCCATTGGTTCATTATGACAGAAATCATATGAATTATGGCCTATTCAGCATATCGGTAAAATAATGGCCACATTCCCATTGTTTCCATTTTCCATTCTTCTCTGATTATGGTCAATAGGAAGTGCTATATTGGTCGTGATTCAACAATCAGGAGATTGGTTGATTGAGTGGGAATGCGAGTTGGATTCCATTCATTCTTTTTCTCTATCAGTAGGACTTCTGGCATTCCTCATTTCTAATTAAGGTAATCGGTTTAGAAACCTTCTCTAGGTTATCCCTACGAAGGATTCGGGATTTCAGCAGTTTATACTAATTTCATTTTTGGGGGCTTTATCCAGCTAGATTCCCCATGCACGGTCGTAAAACAATTTCTTCCCCGGCCCATAAGTGGGCCATAAAAATATTTCCTGCCCGGCGGCATGGCAAGATTTATGTACCTACCGCGACGGCCGGGCATTAATACTGTATTTCATTTTTGGCCAAGCGGTGTATATACCTCTATCTCCGACTGGCAAACTTTGCCGCACTTTCATATTCCACTTCTTTGTTGCATTTTTGCCGAGGCAACATGGGGCGTAAAGATCGACGGACACAATAGTTTCGCATCCCGTGGACTCGCTGCATTGTTAACCCTTTGAGGGCGTCATAAAAGCCAGGTAGTGTGCCAAAACGTCAAAGGGACTTCATTGTATTGAAACCTATTGCTTTGGATTGCTATCCACGGGTATCACATAGTTTACGACAGCATCAAATCAAAGCCTGTCATTGCATTCCCCAACATCCATTGTTCTGCGAATGTCAAAGGTTTCGGGACCAATACTTTCAATCTCAAATTGCTGCCTTGTGTTAGCGAAGTTTTCTGTTTTTCTTTTCCGGAAGAAAAACACTCATTTAGGCATTTTGGTCGGCATGCTGCCTAATTAACAGGCAAAACTCCAGACTCCGCCGCCACATAATTGATCTAAAGTTAATTGCGAGGCATTAATGCCTGACGAGGCCAACATGTGCGGCTAAGTGCCAAGTTATTCCGGCCAGGATTCTGTTGTATTTATTTGCTGTGTGTCAGCGCCATAAGTCAATCTTTTTGTTTGCCCCAAATCTACAACACACCCACACATATATTTGAGAGAGTTTTCCCTTTTTTTTGGCTAGTGATTGATTAGTTTTGGATGGGCAAAAGGTGCGTAGACGGGGAGGTGGCTGCTCCTTTTCTGTGCAAACAAGAACCTCAACACATGCCAGAGTCGATTTATCAAATCTAAACAAATGTAAAACAAAGTTGAGGGAAAGCAAATTGAAGTTTTGAGCGAGAGATTTATGGGCCAGGCATCTATTCACTTGGAATATATGTAAATAATATATATAATTTTGTAACACTTTCACCATTCAGTTGAGTGACTGCCCCGTCTGCCGTCTGTTGGGTAATAATTTAACTAAATTACTGGTCAGCCACATAAAACAGAACTCAGGAATCATTGTTATCAGGCCCAGCCCAGTGGGCGACGACTCTGGCATTTTATATAAAGCCGGAATGGTCTTTAACGAGCCAGCCAACATCATGTCCTGGGGCCAGCTACTGTTTAATGCTTTGGAGTCCTTTGAAGGATCGCAATGCCGAAGGACGGGGTGTGTTGTGCATAAAAAACAAATGGCTGGCCATTTCGGTTGCGCCCATTTTGATGATTATGCCAGATTTTCATTTAGATGATGAACGATGATGCTCCTCGTTGACCCACCATTAGGTGGAATTTTCTATTGGCCTTCCCTGGCTGTCAACAAGCCATTGAGAGTTCACTTTTTATAGGGCCAAGTTTCAAAATTTTTAGTCACTCTTCCTGTATGTCTGTTGGGAAGCTGATAAAGACTTTGTCATGGCTAACTGCATGTCCCTCAGATTTCTGAATTATGAGGAATTGCACTCCACACTGACCTATTATGCATGCAATCCTCTGGTTCTCGTTCAACACTGCGTATGATGAATGTTTAACGTGGTAGAGTAGCAGTACTTGGGTAATTGCTTTTACAACTGATTTACGGCATTCGATTTCGATGGAGGAGCGCCTATTAAAATCGATGGTTGGGCTAATTGACGAACTCAACTTTTGGCCAATTAATTTGGCCACGCTTCACGTAACGCCGCAAGGTATGCAAAATCAATTTCCACTTCAAAACCCAGTGGAAAGGGGGAGCGGGGGAGGCCTAACATTTCAATCGGTTTTGTGTACAGCCAGCGATTTACATTAAGTCAAGACAATACCCGGAGGTGCGAAGACGGGGGGTGTGAAGCCACTCAGAAGTTGGCAAACAAACCTTTAACTTTGTATCAAAGGTGTAAAATTTCATAAAGTGTCGTTGGCACAGGGCCCCGAAAATCAAATGCAAACAAAGTCAGTGAAACGGTTTCTGAGCTCTTCGCGCTGTTTTTCAGTCATCCACCCACGTTTTTTGGGGCGTAGACAGGCATAAATTCTTCTTGGATGCCAGACGGAGTTCGTGCTGTGAGGCAGCCTAAAGGATTATAAGTTGGCGAAAGTGTCCTTGAGGCAGAAGCAGCCAGCACCCCCAAGACTTCTCGGGATATATGTGGGTTTATATAATATATATGTGTGTATGTGTGTGTGGGCGTGGCAGAAGCATTGGAATCAGGCTTATTGCCCAAATAGCAAAACCCAAAGCCTCGAAAATGTATGGCCGAGACGGAAAGCGATATGAATAACTTAAAGCTGAAGTTGAGTGAGCAATCAAAGCGGCGGGCGGTCTACGAAGGGTTCGAATGGGTTGGAAATTGGCATATCAAAGCTCCTGAATGCCGAATCTCTCACAGGGATTTCAACCGTTCTCCCTTCCACAATAAATAAGACATTTTCTGTTGCAACAGCCAACAAAGTGCAATTTCAATTAGTCCCAGGCCATGACATTGTCAGTAAAGAGGCCCGCATGCAGATCCTGGGAAGAATGATTAGACAATTCATTGTGGTAGGCTAGAGGCTGACGTATTGCGACTTCTAGATACCATCTAGGAACTAATACCTTTAAGCTTTTAGTACTTACTAACTGAAAATGCAGTGATATTAAAGGTTTTAAAAACACAATAAGGTCAAGGCAGAGTACCTATTAAAAATATAATGTTCTAACTTTCTCACAAAACAAAAACATAAATATTCACCTTTCAAATTGTTTTACATTTATTTCCTGATTTAAATGCAGTAATAGAATTACAAGCTTAACCTTAGAGATTAGCATAAAATGTTGCTTAACCTCATTTTATGGCATATAAGATTAGTTTGTAGTTACAAAAAATAATAAACAAATAAAATAAAATAAAGAGACTTCTACTAGGAAGTAGAAAAGCAGAAAAGTTCTTAAAACTCTACACAGGCTTAAATAACTTCGAAGTGAACAATAACTCGGAGTGGAAAATAACATGAACCTGTTTTTGGCAACGCTGTTAGCAAGCAACATGCTGCACCATCTGCTACCATTTTTATCTTTCAATTGTCGAACTTTAAAAGGCCATGCCCATGTCCCTGGACAGTCTGGTCCATATGCCTGCATTCAGCTGGATTTTGCTAACAGAATACCAAACGAGCGCTATTGTTTTCTTTCAGGGCCTGCTGACCCCTGACCCCGCTGTGGACATGGTTTACCCGAGTGACACGTCGGACGGCAACAACGAGGAGCTGGCTCTGGAATCCAGTGTTGCACATGGCAATATCAACGGCACTGGCAACGGCACTGGCAACACGCCTGGGACAACAACCACTCCAAATGGGGACAACAAAGTCAATCAGCGGCAATACGAGCCGCGCGAGCGCTTCATTATCACCAAAAACGTGGTCGTGATAGGCCTGGCCTTCATGATTCATTTCACGGCCTTTCACGGCACATCGAATCTGCAGAGTTCGGTGAATGCGGACAAAGCCCTAGGAACCACTACTCTGGCCGTCATCTACGGCTCGCTGATACTGTCCAATATCTTCCTGCCGATGACCGTGATTAGGTGAGTGGACAATTGTCATGGGATGGGATATAGTCAATTGTTTCTACCACAAATATATCAGAATCCTTTTTATTTTTAACCCATTCTAAACTGACTTTAGTCCGTAGTTAACCATGTTCCACAAGACAGATGGCTTTGAGAACACTCGAAAGAGTACTTCAATTTAGCCTCTTAGCATAATTGCCAATTTTTGTTTCGCATTTCTTTTGTCTCGCGAGAGGGTGAAGCTCATTTCGCGACGTGTGGCATGCCATAAAAGTTTCGGTGATTGTCTGGCGGCGTTTTTTATGGCGTTTTTATGCAGATGTGACAACGCCAAAAGCGCAGTCAGCAGACGCCCCAAAAGTGTGTGGCTGTGTGTCTGTGTGACTCCAAGCGCATTTGGCTGTAAAAATGTCAACAGGAAGTCCTTGGATTAGCAGTGGTCCCTTTGTATCCCTATTTCCCAAATCTATCCCGTTTCGGGGCTGGACCCGACCCACCCACGTCTGACATTTAAACAAATCGCTAATTTATAGCGAGCCTCGCTTCACTTGGCTTATTCGAGGCACGAACTGCTGGCTCAGGCAACTTTAATCAGTTAACTCGATTTATTTAGATTTATGGCCTTGGGCCCCGAAATAAATGACCGCCTGCTAAGCATGTGCCACTTGCCACTCGGCACTCACCCATCCTCTAGACTTTCCTATTTCTATTCCTAAATATTTTCTTCTATTTCTCCAATGTATTCCATCAACAGTTGGTTCGGCTGTCGGTTGACCATGGCTTTGGCTCTCTTCGCCTACATGCCCTACATAGCCGCCCAGTTCTATCCGAGATTCGAGACCCTAATCCCGGCTGCCTTAATGGTGGGTTTCGGCGGCGGGCCACTGTGGTGCTCAAAGTGCACCTACCTCTCCACGGTTTCGGAGGCACTTACCCAAGTGCGGGGAAACAAGTCACGCAAGGATGTGAACACAGTCAAGTTTTTTGGGCTCTTCTTCATCTTCTACCAGATGGCCCAGGTGTGGGGAAACCTGATCTCCTCATCGGTTTTGACTCTCAGCGCCCCTGCCTCGCAATCCCCTGCGAATGAAACTTTCGAAATGGAACTGCAGCGAGAGCTGGAGAGGCAGAAGGTTGCCGAGTTGTGTGGTGCTAACTTTTGTCCCGGAGTGGGGGCAGAGGCCAATCCCAACCTGGTGCCACCAGCTCCTGAACAAATCCAGTTGCTTAATTCCATCTTCCTCACCTGTATGGCAGCTGCGGTGGTCATGATGATCTTCGGCGTCAGCTCCCTAAAGCGGTAAGTTACTATTTGCTTTTAAATTGATTTATTTTATTTCTTATCCATATATCAATGATCCCCAGCTATGGAGTCAAGCGCGGAGACACTGGCGATGGCATGTCGGGGCTCAAGCTCCTCACGGTGACCATAAATCTGCTGCGCAAGCGTCGTCAGATCCTGATGCTGCCCATCACAATGTTCATTGGCCTGGAAGAGGCCTTCCTAGCCGTAGACTTCACCCGATCATTTGTGGCTTGCGGTTGGGGAATCTCGAGGATCGGATTCGCCATGATCTGCTTTGGAGTAGCAAATGCAGTGGCTGCTGGAATTGCTGGTGCTTTAGTGGAGCGCATCGGACGAGTCACCCTGGCCGGACTTTGTGCTGTACTCAATCTCTGCCTGCTCACCTACATGTACAGCTGGGAGGCAAAGGAGGGTGATTACCTGAGCTACTGCACCTTTGCGGCGATTTGGGGAATCTGTGATGGAGTCTGGCTGGTTGTGGTCAATGGTTGGTGAATCCACTAAGTTTCAGCTTGAACTGGTCTTAAAGTTTACGTACTTGCAGCTTTTTATGGCATCCTATTTCCGAACCACCTGATTGCCGCTTATAGCAACTTTCGTTTATGGGAAAGCACCGGTTCGGTAATTGGCTATGTCATCAGTTCGCAGCTTTGTACTTCCACCAAGTTGGTGATTTTAATGGGAGTTATGTTGGTGGGCTGCGTGGGGTGAGTTTTCAGTTTGAATTTCTAGAATTTCGAAATAATGTTCCTTAATTTCCCTCAACAGATATGGCCTTATTGAATACCGCGTTTGGCAAAAGCAGAAGAACCTGGAGGTCATGCTAAGTGACTGATTGCGAAGTCAAAGCCAATCCATTTTCTTGCCATTTACATTTTTGACTCTGTTTTCCCAAATGAGAAGCAGAGATAGTTGCTCTATGTGATATTGCCAAATAATGTTAAGATTCCCACGTTACTTAATAAAACCAAGTGTTGTTTTAATTTTTTAAATAGTATTTTTTATTACAATCATTTAAATATTTGTTCAGTTGTAGCTGCTTTCTTGCTATGTACCATTTAAATTTCGTAGTTGAAATATTTGTTTTCGTTTCTTTTCCATCGTAATTTTTTAAATTGCTACATAATGTTGCTTAATCTAAACACTTGCTGTCTTTATAGCTTTCGCTTGCTTTTTGTTCATTTTCATTCTGAGTGCTACCATATAGAATTCTTCTTAGTTTTCGAGTCTGAACTGGCTAAATACTAGGGTTATAATTTGTTTTATAAATTGTTGAAATCAGATTCATTTCAGTATACAAGTTTAGCCAACGCATTAAATGCAAATATTTTTACTCATCGCTTACGAGCTGCTCTACAGAATTTCCTTAGACTGCGTTTCATACATAGATTTTGATGCAGTTTTCGTTTTTAAATGGTTTTTTAAACATTTAGTTATGTAATTTGTTACGTGGTATGAACTGGTTTCGCTTTTTAGTTTTCCTTTTATTTTATTTTATTTTTTTTTTCGTATTTCTTTTTGGAATGGCACATCAATGTGATAAAATTTGGCCTAAAACTGCACAAGTCTGCCTTCGGGACTTTAGACTACTTTTAGGCTATTTGGGATATGATAAGTGTTAAGTAATTACTTAGATGGCTAAATATTCAATTGGATTGGGTTCTTGGGTCTTGGGTTTCTGGTTTTCTTTTGTTTTGTTGTTGCTGTTGTTGTGGTTCGCTTGCGTAAGCCGATGTCCTTTGTAAATGCTATGACACACAGTATTACTTTACATGGCCTAACTGCTAAACTCTAGGGTGTTGTACAACTATCACACTGTAATAAACTCTCTCTCTCTCACGCACACACACTCTCTCATACACCCACACACATACACTTAGACACCTAGCTATATACATGGGCCAGCTATTTACAAGGGCCCCTGGCCCTATACCATCCCCTTGGACATCATGCGAACGGTGTTCTTCAGAGCCTGCCGCTTGTTGCAGAACCAAATCCTGATCACTTCGCGTTCGTAGCCCAGCTGATGAGCTAGTCCAGTGATTTCGGTGCCTGTATGGGTGAGGAGAATGAGATATCATAACTGTTCCTCGTACTTGACTTCTTGTAACTGAAAGTTACCACTCACCCGAAGGATGCGTATTCCGCTCGAAGTGCGCATTCAGCAGCTCCAGAGCTTGGGGGGTAAAGGATGTACGCCTCTTGCGCTTTTTCGAGGGCTCCACTCCTATATAGTCGGTGAGATGGTTCTGACCCGATTTGTAGCGGTTCCAGTGGCTAAATGGAAGAGATAAGAGAAGCACAAGTTAGTAAGGTCTTGTGGCGAAATGGCGCCCAACTTCGAGGGCAAAACGACGCGTGGAACTGCCTCCATACTCTCACCTCTCTTCGGCCTCCTTCATCCAGCGCTCCAGCACAGGCTTGATCTTCTGTGCGCTCTTTGGTGTGATGTCCAGCTTCTCGAACCTGCGGTTTTTGGAGTGAGTGAGGTTTGGTATGGGATTAGATCGTTTTTCAGGATCGCTCGATATGGCAGTACAACGCAAAAGAAACGTAACTAAAGTGCCAGGACATTGTCAATTAGCATTCTCTTTCGGTTTTTGGGTACGCTCTTTATTTTAATCGGTTCAATCGAGAAGTTTTCATTTCATTTCAGTTCGCGATGAGCTGCTGAAACTCTGCTCATTGGCAATGCCCTGGGCCAATTTTCTTTCTTTTTTTTTTTCAAAAGCGCATTTATGCAAATTAAACGTGAAACAAAAAGAAATACATGGCGAAATGAACAGGTTTAATGAGCCTTGCACTTTAGTTAGGTTTCTCTTGGACTGCACCACACACACACACACACACAGGACAGCATAGCACACCCACACCACCCTCAAGGAGGCACACATACATGTTCTGCTGCTGCGTCGATAGTTGAGCGGCGTACATCTGCGCAGCGAGTGCACTGCTTGCATTCGATAGTTGGCATTCGTTTACGATATTCGATTGTTGGCATTCGTTTACGATATTCGTTTTCGGTTTGCGGTGGGTGGCATTCGACATTCGATGTTGAGAGAGAGAGAGTTAGATAGAGTTGGCGTTTGAATCGAAAAAATAAAACAAATAAAATAAATAAAATTAATTTAGCATTTAATTGGTTTTGTTGTCTGTTTTTCGTGGTTAATTTAGCATTTTTAGATTTCGCTAGAAAATGTCCTGGCACTCTTCGAAAATCGGTTCCAGAAGTTTACGAAAAACAAATTAAGGGAAACATAAATATGTTGACTTAAGCAAAAAATATTGTTGAGAAAAATATAATGAAACACGTTTGCTAAATAGGGGAAAGGCAGCCAAAATGGTTTTCCTAAAGCTCATCAGTTTTCTTCAACACTTAACTTTCTCCTTGGAAAAATAAATACCAATTTCTAGAGTTTCTAAACCATTATGTAATAGTGTCTAAAAGTTAGCTTAAAGACGATTTTATACTTTTCAAAGTATACTTTTTGGTTGTTTTAGATATAACAATTTTAAGGGCAATGCTTCTATTTGACTTAAAGAAAAGACTATAAACTAGAAATATTGAAAATGTTTTCTTTAAGTTAAAAACATTTTAGTTAAATATACAAAACTGCTTAATTTTTTTAGAAACAAATAAAACTTGTCCATGCATATCTCACCTGCAAATGGCACTCTGGCTGTAGGCGGGTCCCTCGGTCACCGACAAGGCCTGTCCCACCTGGGTTTGGGTGAGTCCCAGCGACAGACGCCTCAGCTTGAAGGCCTTGGCGAACTCCTTGATCTCGTCCAGATCGATGCCATCCACCACATTGGTAGTGGCCTGGTTGATGGTGGGTTCATCTGAGTGAAGAGTTAGAAAAGAAGTCCGGTTAATGGAAAACTCAATATGTGACATAAAGACATTAAGTCTAACTAATAAATGCTAAATTAGCCCAGCTATCTGATGTCATTAGCCATGTAAATGACATCATAAATTGCAGCCGTGTCTTGGTCTTAATTACAGTTAATTGCGGTAATGGCAAAACATTATTACAGTGCAGCAGAGGTAAATTGATAAAGCACACAGCGAAGACACCTGCCAAGTTGTTCTTGTCTATTAGGCAAGTGCGAAACTCACGGCTTTTATCTGCCTAATTTGTTAGGAGGAAGACGCCTGAAGGATGCAAACTACTAGAGCAGAATTTTGATTTATTTATTAATGATATGCAAGAAGGGAAAGACAAGGGTCCCAGGCAGCAGCAGCAACAACAGGCAACAGCCAACGAACAACAGACAACAGCAGCCAGCAACTGCAACTTCAACGACAGCCTTGTGTTTTAGCGGTAATTAAGATGCGAGAATGGATTGGAGGCGAAGGATGTTTGGGTAAAGGAGCCACATCCACATCCATAGCAGTGGCATCCTTTTGCGGGCCGTAACTCAAGCTGTTGTCGCTGGCTGTTGTTGTTTGCTGCAGCGTTTGAAATATGTCATTAAATGCGGAAGACATCTTAAGTTTTTGTATGCGTCAATTAGTAGTAATTAAGCCGCATATTGTCTGCAATTTGTATGCGCAAACGATGCGATGTCGCAATCGAGACTGCTCGAGGTGGAAGCCATCCAATCCTGATGACTCTACTCTCTAATGGGCGCCAGGGGGCTAGCTTGCCTTGATTTCTTCTCTCTGCCAAAGGAGCTTGTGCTGATTGCATTTTTAATGCATCCAAAAGTTTCAATTAAGGCTTCAAGTCTTAGATCGAAATGGGTTGGAGGCGTATCTAATCAATATGCTCCTTTAACAAGGGAGTATCTTTCTCTATATATATGTAGATATAAAGTGTGCCCATAATCCGCTCTAAGCTAATCCCATCAACTCGGCTGACATGTCTTGGCCCCGAAACCTAATCCAATGCCAGATGCGAAGCGTGACAACGTCAACGCCGCTGCTAATTTGCCTAACACTTTCGGTTGACATCTCTCAACTTTGGGCAATGCATTCTCGTAAGTTTTGTTTAGCTGCTCCACCTAATCCCCATCTTCCCCGGAATGCTGCATCAATTATGAATCCCGCCCGTCGCCGGAAGAAGTCGTGTAAATGCACGGCGAAACTTTTCGCACACACGCCAAAAGACACCGGAAAATTTGTAGTTGCGGGTGGTAGGGGAAAATTTCAAGTTGATTTTCTTTTGGAAAATTACATAAAGTGCAGTCAACTTGTTAGAGCTTTTGGCATTGCCTTCAAAGTTAGCTCTCAACGAAAATTTCGTTAATTAATGTTGGCCAAAAAGTTGATTTTCGCCCCCCCTAACACGCCTTTGTGCGCATATCACTCATACGCTATGTTGCACACGAGTGTGCCTCTTAAAATATCAAATCATCGTCAGCTAGCTAGCGGACCCCAATTATACATGTACAACTGCGGAGGGCACTCGAATTTCAGGCCTCCGGCTCATTGGGATCATTACACGCTGAAGGATGCTTAGAACACTTTTGGGCATGGAAATTTGGGTTTGAAATTAATGCTAAGCTAGCTTGTGGGGCTTTAAAGTTGGGATTGCAAACCGTTTGAAAATGGGGATACTTTGATATCTTGCAATGAAAGGTTTTTTAGATTTTGTATTCCAAAGCGAATAATAAGTAATACTTTTAAAGTTAATTTTCATCATCAGCTTGCATCCCATCATTAAAGTATTCAAGTAGAAGAAAGAATCGATCTTTACTCACTCGGTGAATCCATGAGCAGGTCGTTGTCATTGTCGTTTCCGTTGGGCGACAGGTGTGGCGGCTCACTTCTGGACGAAGGACTCAATTTGAGGGGCTGCATATGGGAAATACTCGACGTGGAGGGGCCTGGACCAGGTGAATCATCACGTGGCGAGGCGGACGAGGCCCTCGTTGCCGTGGCCGTAGGTGCTCCCAGGGATTTCGTAATGGTCAGCTCGCCATTGGAGGCATTGAGTCTAAAAGGGCTTAGTTAGGAACAGGTAGGAAATTTTGAGCTGAGCTTGACACACCTGTTGATGCTGCTAAGTACATTGGCCGAAGCACTGGATCCCGTTACCGTGGGCGCTCCACAACTGCTGGTCGAAGTGGCCACTCCGGAACTGGGTCCATTGCCTAGATAATCCCGCTCCAGACGCGGTGAACCTCCCAGTGAGAGGGCGTGGCTCTGGGGCGAGTGGGTGCGGAACAGCGGGGAAGTGTAGCCTCTGTCGCTGATGCTGTTAGCCGCCGAACTTGAGGGAGCGGAATTGGGTGGCGAGAGTCGTCCGGAGGCCAAATTACCTCCATGGTGACCACCACCCGAACTGGACGAAACACTGGCCCTAGTAGCAGTCGCCGTTGGCGTGTGTGATCGCCTTTCGTGCCTCTCCTGGCGTTCCAGTCGCTCCAACCGTTCATGGCGCTCGTGATGCTGGCTCAGATTCATTCCGGTGCTTGTGGATCCACCACTTCCTCCCATCCTACCCTGCGGACTGTGCTTGGGTGATACCGTTGAAGATCCTCGCAAACTGTGCCCGAAATGATGGCGTGGCGGAGGCGCCGGTGGCGAGTTGCTGGCACTCAGCTCCAGTGGCTTGATGTCCATCTGCGGAGCAGTCAGCTCGTCAGGATGTCGCAGGCTGATTTGAGGCAGCGAGGAGGAAACCGCCGAAGTGGATTGCGGCTGCAGGTGGTGATGCAGGTGCGTCTGCGTCTCGGGCTTGATGTGCAGTTGCTGCTGCAGCAGGAAGGCGGCTCCGGGCGGCGGCGGAGGTGGTCCCTTAGTTGGCAATCCAGGACTTCCACCCGTGGGCGAACCAGCCGTTGGAGATCTCTCCGCTGACCGTCGCAGATCGGCAGCCAGGTGGGAGTGCGGCAGGTGACCAATGCCCAGGTGTTGCTCCCGTTCTCGTTCTCGTTCCCGCTCCCTCTCCCTTTCTCTTTCCCGCTGATGTTGCTGCACCTGCTGCTGCTGTTGCTGTTGCTGCTGCTGATGTGTGGCAGCTGCTGCAGCAAAGAGTTCTGGATGCAAAGCCGTCAGTAACTGCTGCACGCCCGTCGAGAAAAGATTAGGCTTGAGTAAATTCGTGGGTGTCTGGGCCAATTGAGGCAGGGCTGTGGCATGTTGCAGAGCGGCCAGTGAAGGTGGTAACAAGTCCCGTTGCTGCTCACGATGTTGCTGCTGCTGCTGCTGCTGTTGCTGTTGCTGGTAGCTTGCAAAGGCGCCGAATGCATTGGGCAGAAACTGCTCCGTGGTGGGGATCTGCGGACTCACCGGAATGGTGAGAATGGTCTGAACGGCAATGCCTGGAAATTGAGAAAAATTAAAGTTTAACTTAAAATGCTTAATGTTTTCTTATTTTAGTATCTTACTTAAGTATTTCTGTGATAAATAATGACCAAAATTCCTATGAAACACCAATTTTTATTTTAGTTTCTAGGGACGAACCTCTTTTTAGTCTTTTTCCCGCAAAAGATTACCGCGAATCCTTTTTTCCCCTCGTGCAGAGGAAATTGAAAGTTTCTCTAATCGCTTTATGAGCTCATGACCCCCAGCCATCCACGAGATGCTTTGAAAGTCAAACCAAGTCAACTATGTTATTGATACCCAGGACGAACAGACGAACAGACGGACAAGGGACAACCGTATAACCCTATAACACACACTCACCTTGGGCCGTGGGTATAAGCAGCTGGGCTCCCTGGACACCCTGCACCAGTTGGCCGGAGGCAAGAATCAGCTGAGGCATCTGGGCGCTCGCCGGCGGCGCCTGTAAAGTGGGCGGAGGCGAGGCGGTGGCTGCCGCCAGGACATTGGCCAGCGAAGAGGCGCTAAGGGGATGATGCGGCGAGCTGCTACTGCTGGGATTATCCGGCTGCTGCTGCTGCTGCTGTTGGGCGGAGTTGGAGCCAGAGTTGGTAGACGATCCGCCGGAGTTGTTGCCGGAACTACCGCCCTTGGCCGTCTTGCTCTTGCCACCATTATGAATGGGTGAGGATGGAGCTGGACCTCCAGCTGCTCCTGTGGTTCCTGCTGGCTCACCACCCACGCTGAGATTCAACGGCGAATTGAACACCGAGGCGGCTAATCCTTGAAGACTTGCCAGTGCAGCGGCCGTGGCGGGATGGTGATGATGATGCTGATGTCCATGATGCGGATGAGGATGCTGCTGCTGCTGTTGCTGCTGCTGCTGCTGTTGTAGCGTGGCCAAATTTTGTAATTTTTGCAAATTTATCATGTCTTGCACTGTGGGATTTTGAACAAGAGTCACACAAAATGTTGTCATTAGTTTTTGTTGCAAAACTCTTTGCCGAATTAGTGGCGGGAATGGGGGAGAGGGTTGGGCTTTTGGATTGCCTGCCAGCCAGCACTAATTGCCAGTTTACTTTGGCCCCGGTCTGGGTTTTTCGGGGATAAATGACTGTGTATGTGTGTGTGTCGGTGCGGAATTCAAGGATGGAAACTCGTTGTGCAAGGAAGTCTTAGATAAATTATAGAAAATTAGTCTGTGGGAATTAGAGCGTTAAATGTGAATGCAGCCAAACAATGATGCCCGTAAATTGTCGAGAAACAACTAAGCGTTCGTTCGTTCTATTTTATTTTAGAATTGGAAAAGTTGAGAGTTTTTAATATAGATTATTAATGCACCGCCTGCTTTTGAGTTGGATTTCAAAGATTATCAAAATTGTAAAAAAATGTTAACAATATTTTATAACCCAAAAAAGGAAGTCGTTTTCCCAAAACTGAAAGATCAGATCAGGGTTACCAATCCCTAAATATAAGTAAGTTTTAAAGACAGTTTCCATCCCTAAAAGACGACCATTTCTCATAGCTTTTACTGCTTTTTTGGCTTTCGATATGTACTCACTAGTTCCGTTCAGATGGGCCGCAAACGCCTTGGCCTGGGCCTGTTCCTCCCGTCGCAGCCGCATGACCTCTGCTGCCTGCTCCTCCGCCTCGCCCTCGCCTTCCCCCTCGTTCTCGTCCTCCTCGCCGTCGATCTGCATGGGCAATGGGAGTGGCATGGGCAGGGGCGGCGAGGAGTGCTGGTTGGCCAGGGAAGCGGCCTTGGCCGCCAAATTCTTATAGAATTCCAGCTCCTTGACGTGATCTTTGCTATCGAAGGGGGAATGGGAATGGGAGTGTGAGTGGGGCGGTGGCGAGAGGAGGGCATGGCCATCCGTGATCTCCATTTCATCGTCGTTATTGTTGCTCCGACTGCTGTGATGGGGATGATGGTGGTGGTGATGGTGCAGGGAGTGGGCGTGGCTGCTGCTGCTGGGCGAATGGATTTTGTGGCAGCTGATTTCCTTGTCGAAGTCCTGAAAGTTGAGAGAGAAAAATCATTAAAAAATTGCTGAAGATGAAGGATTTTCTGGTAAAACTATTTCCACTTCAGCTGAGCAACTGCCGAGATTATTTCCCTCTTATTTGTAAATAATTTAATTTCCATTTGATTATCATTTAAGATCCACTTAATGCATATGAACCACAGCCTTCCTCTGACTAAATTCAATTATATTTTTGCAATTAATGCCGTGTCAATTGTCCCGCAGAAATCCATACCCAAAAGCTAATGACGAGTCCTGAATCCCCGTTCATTGTTTGCTGATTGGATTATATATTTAAGCGATGGCATTTTCGGACTCGTATTACATTCCATTTGTGTCAGTCGAGAGAGGCGGCACTCAGCGTGTTAATAAGTTAATTTAATTTTGGTTGTAATTGTCAGCGCACATTTATTGTTTGGCATTTTGATCTGCCATTGCGGATGAGCTGGCCAATTTATGCAAATTTAATTGGTTGCAATTGTTGCGACTCAGCACGGGGGCAATAAAAGGGGGTATCAATATTTGTTTGATTAGCCATTTAAATGGGCAAGCCTCTCAATTTGCCTCTTTAAATTTCGTTTTTCAAAAGGAAGTTTAAGGAATGAGCAAATAGCCAGCTCTGGAAAGGTATCCAGGGAAAATGGGTGGATAGGTAAACCAATATAATTATTGGCAATTAATGCTGGCGACGCCAAATGCGCTTAGAGTGGGAGGTTTTTTTAGAGGGTAACGGGGCGGACCATTAATGCCAGGACAAACCAAGCAGGACCCTTCTTGGCGACGTGGCGGAGCTTCAATTAAATTTTATTTGCATAGGAAATTAACATAATTGTAGTGCAAAATACAGACCCAAAAAAAAGTAAAAAAGAGAAGGAAAAAGGGAAAATCGAAAAAAGGAAAGACCAAAAGAAAAGCAATAAACGTGACAGAAACGAAGGTAAAGTGTTAAAAAAAAAATATTTATGCAAATAAATAGAAATGTTTGGTGGGTGTTGCAAGTGCGGCAATTAAATGGTATTCCTGCTGTTCGAACATTAAGGACCTTATCGGCCAAATGAGAAAGAACTAACCATAAATCTGTCAATCATCTAACTAACTAACACTAAGAGAGTGGACATTAATTAAAGCACTTGATAAAATTCACTGCAACGTGCTGCAAATTCATTAAAAATTGACATTTATTGGCGCCGTCAGCAGCACAACAGCAACTACTTAAACAGTGGCCGGGCATAAAAAACGCTGAGAGGAGAGAAGGTCCTGCCAGGACGAGCCAAGTTAATGTCATTGAACAGCAAATCGAACTAAATTTATGACACGCCGAGAACGAGAGTGTATGGAAAAGGAAAAAGAAACTCGGCAACGTTAATGTCCTGCGAGTGTCCCCGTGTGCATGTGACTGTGTGTGTGCATGTCCTTTATGCAAACAGGCGGCAAACAGACGTCCGCTGACAGCCACTATGGCCCACACATACACTCTCTGACTCACACACACACACAGATAGTGCAGGAGTCCACTGATGTGCAATGAATTAACTTTTCAACATATTTACTCACGCTCAATTGAAAGGACTTCGGTGTGACTGTGTGTGTGAGAGGGAGAGAGGGAGTATCCCTACGGCTACGGCTACATTGCCGCTAAAAGTTGAAGAACAAAAAGTGGCCACCATAATGAGCCGCTGACGCTGTCGCCCGGCTTTTGTTCCCCAGCGATTCTATTTTTGTAGCCTCGCAAATGAGCGGAAATTAAAAACTGATTTAGCATTGGCAAGCAAAAGGGAATCCTAAAATAATACAGGGACGGTGGAAACAAGGTTTTTTCATTCAATAGTTCAATGCTGAAACAGGCTCGATTAAAGGTTATATTCTAAGGATTAAGCAAAGAAGTTTATTCAACGTGGTAGGAAATTTGTCCACCAAATAGATTTCCTAAAAACTAACTGGCTTTTATGGAGACTTATTTTAGAAAGAAAGGCTGATTATCATATATATAAGAATATTAAAAAATAAAGCATACAAGTAAATTTCGTTGTAATTTAACATTTATTGTTATAGACATATTCATTTTTAACAACGTATTTTAATCCTTAGATTTTTGGGCATTTTAACATTCGAAGGGAGAACAAAGGTAGCCATTTCATTTGCCAAAAAAAAAAATAGGTAAAAAATATATATAGCTCCTTCCTCTGAACAGTCGGCGCAATCGTATCTACTCAGATTCGGACAGTGAAGCCCACTTAAAGCCACCCAACACAATCGGCTGGGCATCAACGTTTTCCCTTCGGCTGTTTTATATGCTGTTTTTGTTGCCCCACCGTCAAATGAAAATAAGTCAAAAAAATAGAAAATGAATTGAATTATTGCAAAGAGCAAGAGATGCTCGTTGTTATGGGGTAGGGGTTGGGTGGGTTGGTTGGGAAAAGCGGCAGATGGGGTTGGGGTTGGGCAGCGGGCACTTGACAGCCTCGAATGTGATAAGCAAAAGCCCGGCGCGAAATGGAAAACGCGATGGCAGCCTTTGCTTTTCTTCTTATTATGCTCCTCTGCAGCTCTCTCCCTCTTCGAGTGAGCACCGCTCCAATGTGGCCTTCTCTTTCTCCAGCATTCGTCCTGTCTCTTTTGCTGTCTGTGTTTTTTATGTAGCGTGCTTTTGAGCGCGACGCGAAATTATAATTCACACATGTGACCAACCAAAGGGGGAGAGCGAGTGAGTGGGTGGTGGTGGTGGGTGCTCGGCCATTTGCCTGTGGGTGAGCTTGGGTGGTGGACAGTAAAAAAATGCAATTGCCAAAAAGTAGCCGGCAAAAAGAAAGCGAAAACGAGGAGCAAGTCGACGTCGCCGAACGGTTGCGTTGCTTGTTTGCTTTAATTGCAAATGGCATTTTTTCCCGGGGAACGAGAATGGGAATATGGATACGAGGATACAAGGATGAGGATGTGGAAGTGGAAGTGGCGGACATACACGTTACAAGCTGACCAGCTCCACCATCACCCCATCAACACAGGGAGCCTGGCTCATAAATTGTCGAAAAATATTTGACTTGTTCTATTTTTGGTCACCCCAGGCCCAGGCCAGCAAAAAGCGCCTGCTGTGGCCAGCAATATGCTTCGGCAGCACCAGCACCCCTTCCCCCTTTTTGGAAAACATTTATGAGTGGGCGAAAGGGTTGTCAAAAGAGGTGGAGGGGTGCTGAATTGGGGCCTTGCACTTTTGCATATTTAATGCTTTGTTTAATGCAAATGCACATAATTTCATCACTGTGTATGTGTGTGTGGAAGAGTGTGTGTAGTTTTCTTTCATGCCTTCCTTTTTTGCCGAGATGCGAAAATATTTTTCAATTAATATTTATGTTGCTTTATGTGCCTGAATTGATAATTTCCCCATTGGTGACTCGAAAACGAAGCCGAATTGTTTGCTAAAACTGCTTGGGAGTTGCGGTTGCCAGTGCGATGATGAATTTCTGTATCGACAGTTGTTGCATGGGAAAAATGGGTACATAACCTGTGTGCTTCTTACAAAAGTGAGACCATTTTTTAAGATATCGTGGGGTATACACATCTTGGGTCTTTGCTATTGCATTGGGATCTTTAATATACAAGTTTAAAATTACTTACTATAGATTTATGTATTGTTAAACTTAAGTTACGATGACGTTTCCTATAAAAAACCTATAATTTGTTATTTCTGTAACATCCTTCCAGAAGTGCAAATATTATTGCATACTTTTAGACACTTGTTAGTAATAGTAATCTTATATAAATCCATTTAAACTACCATTTGTTCTTCATTGTTTTCCATTAGGTTCTAATAAAAGGATTAATGACAATGCCAGAGATCAGAATAACGTTTGCATTTCCGTTTCAATGGCTATTTATTTTTTAGCTCTTTTAAAAACCAGCCCCATCAATCGCCCCATCAGGTCTCTAAACAAAAATAGAAGAGCCCATCAACGAGGCGATTTCTTGCGCAATTTCGCCGGAAAACACATGCAGTGTCGATAAAGGTATAAGCTGCACCTGCAGGCGGGAAGCCCAGCTTGCACCAACCACCCACTTGGCTACAAACAAAAGCTCCACGCTGCAGACATTGCAACTTCGGCGAGAATTCAACTGCTTCTGTATATATGTATCTATGTATATGTATCATATACCGGCACGTGGTCATGTATCGGCTATATCGGTCCGAATGTATATATATATATATATATAAGTCGGTGGATGTGGGCTTTCCATATATGGACAGAGCGCAGCTGACAGTCGCATGGCGAATGAGGGAAAGAAAACAAAAACGAAACAAAACAACAGCGAAGCACAAAAACCAAAACAAAAATGTGTAAAAAATGATGAACGATGGTGGGGAGGTCCGAAATGGAAAATGGAGCAAAACAAAAAGTGGAAAAATTCAGAAGGGTGTGCGGCATGGCATCGGGGGTAGATTCAGGCTGGTCCAGGTCCTGGTCCATCAGCAGCAGAAGCAACAGCAACAGCAGCAACATCAATGGGCGCGCCACTCAATCAACCCCACTTGGGTGAAAGTGGGTGGCCGATGGGTGGGTGTGCGGCTCTGCTTGACAACAATGAAGGCCAAGCATTGTCCAGGGCTCCGGGGACCACTCACCCAAGCAACCTCCCAACCCCCAACCCGAAGGATTTTCTGTGTTCGAGCCTGTCCCAATTTTTTTACGTTTTTCCGTTTACTCCATTTTTTCCACTTTTTTGTGTGCCTTTAATTTTGCTTTCGTCTCTCTCTCTCTTTTCTCTCTCTCCTCATTTTTCGTTGGGCGATTTTTTTACGGCCGCCTGCTACAACTTTCTGACTGCTTGGTCGCTGGTCAGCCGCAGTTATTCTTTGGGGGCGCCGATTCCTGGACATTTGGGGGCGAATTTCTGCAGCGGTCACTGGTCAACGCTCTGGTCAAATAAATGCAATTGTACGGGTGTACATATTATTCTCCCGTTCTACGGCAAACGGGAAAATCACCCACTCCTTTTGA